CACCTTGCTTGGCTGCTCATGTGACTCTTAACAGCCAATCAGCAAAGACTGGTCTGTACGGAGAAGTTTTGAGATGGCTGTCACCAGAGGATACTTCTGTCATAAATGAAATGGAATTGACAGCAAAGACAATCTTTAATATATGCTAGCCTTATTTTTTTCAGAGTTTGAGAGAAAGCATGCAACACATTTCTAAACTTTGTTCACATGCTTTCTGTGTATAAATTAAAATATGATTTTTTTTTTAATACACTTCTAACTTCACCTGAGTCAGTCTTCATCTATATGCTTTTTTTAAATATTTGGGTAAATAGCTGTATTTATAGCAGGTATTATTGAGGCTGTCCATATATATTTAGTACCTCCTAACTATAGGAAAGTGTAGAGGCTCCCTTTTTTGATAATAAGCTACTGTTGTTCTCTATATCACCATTAGAAAAGATTTCATAAGGTGAAGAGACCTAAGCTATAAAAACTCGAGGTGCTCCCTCCCAATTGGCAATTGAGAACAAGTCGTCTCACCTTGCTATATTATTTTTAGAAAAGCACACATTCCTTCACTTTAGATTGGGAGACCCTAAACTTAAGTATATTTTTAGATTGTGCCTAATTCCAGCTCTAATGTTATATGGTGAGGATTTAGTCTACATTTTGAATAACTGTAAAGAATCTAGTTACCAAAAATGAACATCACAGGCATAAGATGATATTTGAAAAGTATTTAAAAAAAAGTCTATTCTTTAAGTTAGGTACCTCCACAGAAAGATGATATCTAAGGTTTAAAATGAATTTAAAAAAATGAAAAATCTTTCTTGAAAGTTTTATTTTAGTTTTAATTTCAAGCTAATAGATTAAATTTTAATATTTCCAATAAACAAAATACTTTGCTGTATTTCAAAACAAATTTAAATTGATTGGAATGATTTAAAGAAAAAAAAATACTGAAAACTGCTGATTTTAGCGCCATTTTAATCATCTACCAGCCAAAGGTAATTCTCTTTAGAAGATTAGCTTTAGTTTAAAATATCACAGAAAAATATTTAACACAGAGGTAGCTGTTGACAGGTAACAGTCTGACAAGTGAAAATGTATCTAATTTTTTTATTCAGGTGACATATCTGTACAAATATTACTTGAGGGACATAATGCAAATGCCTTTTTTTATGTAATTTTTAATCACCCAGTAATCTTAAAAATTTATGAAAATATTCTCTGTAATCCAATGTTTTATTGAATTTTAGGTAGTTTGACTTTAAATTTATTATAGTTATCGCTCTTATTTTCTGATAATGCTGTGTGTCTATACACAGCATTATCAGAAAATTGGCATGTCTATACACACACACAAAAAATAAAAATTTATTTGCAAATATTGGTGGGTGGGTGGATGAATTGTAGTAAGGTTCTCCATTTACGATTAGTAAATATAGTTTTTACTTAATATCACCGAAGCTAGACAAATACAGAAATTTAAAAGCTTCAATAATTCATAAATTATTCTAATTAAAATGTAAAAAAAATAAAAATTAAAAAATAAAAAACAAACATTTAAAACAATTCTTGTAAAATTCATTATTCCTTGAAATATTTTTTTCTTAAGAAAATAGTGTCCATAATCTATCTTATTCATAAAAGCAATTAAAAGTGTTTCTAATTAAATAATTTCTTAGTTTTATTTCCTTTTTCTTTTATTTTACAATTCAGAACAGATTTTCAGTAACTGGGGGTCCCATTAAAAAAAAAAAAAAAAAAAAATTTAAAAATTGATGATTTAAATTCTACAAGGTGTTCTACATATGACTAATATAAGCATTAAGCAGTACAAAAATGAATTTCTCAAAATTTCTTAAAATTAAACAAGTGTGGTTAACAGATGTAGAAACAAACAAAAGTGTTTTTACCAAGATTCACTTGTTTGTGAATAAGTCCTGAAAGTTTCATTAAAATCTGACAACGATTTGATTTTTGAAAGAATTTCCAAATCAATGTGTTTTTCACCGCAAAAAAAAAAAGATGCTAAAATTTGCCCTACCCACATCACTGATGGGGGTGGGCAAACAAAAAACAACAATATTCCAAAAATGACCAAAAAAATAATTTAATAATTAAAAATCCTTTGTTCTTCCCTCTTAATAATAACAATGATAAAACAATTTTTGTTAAATTTGGGGCATTTTTTCATCATAGTATGCTCATTTTTTAGATCAGTCAGTCATGTGTGATACACACTTAGACGATCATGAATCTTTTGATACATGACTGATGAGGCAGATTTCTTTCTGCAGTAGGTTGCCATTTCTTTCTGTGGTAGACCAGTTGCTATCCAAGGCAACCCAGTCTGTCCTGCTATTTACCCATAACTTTAGGGGAGAAGAAGAGGATTCATCCCTTTCTCAAAGGCATTAGCACTTAAGTGAATGTATTGGGATCATCTGGAATTCAAACTCGGCTTTCCAATTCCTCAATCTGAGCCGCTATCCCTTACTCCACTACTTTATATGGTCTTTGATAACTTCCTCTTCTGTAAAAACCAACTTTTTAATCAAACTATTAGTTGCTTCCAGTTTCATTTCATATCTATTTATTAGAAACAAGAATAATGAGAAAGAGAGAATAATAAATTTAAATTACTATAGTGAAGGAAAGTGAGATGAAAGGACTAAAAAACATCAATTGCATGAAGACAGAATGTATGGTTGTTAGTAAAAGAGACAGTCCAAATTACAAATTAGGGATACTAAAATCAAAGAAGAAAAATTTAAATATCTGGTAAGTGTTTAACAGAGGACAGAAAGTGCAATACTCTGAAGGCACATTGGGATATCAAAAGTTGGTTTCCAAAAGCTAAGCAAAGTATTAAGAAACAGATAAATTTCATGGAAGAAAAAAAAAAAAAAAAAAAAAAGAGAAAAAAAAGAAAGTGTACTGAACAGTTATGTAATATCACTCCTCCTAAGGCAGTGAATGCTGGACAATTGCATCACAGATGAAGATGAAATAACAAAAATGTGGTTCTACAGAAGGATGTTGAGAATACTATGGACCAAACATGTGAGTAACGACTAAGTTCTAGAGAAAACAGAAAAAAAAGGACACTTATGCTTAACATCATGATGAGACGGTTGAAATTTCTATGGCACATAACTAAGGAAAGAGGGCTTGGAAAATTTGATACTCACAGGACATTGACAGAAATACAACGCAAAACCTACCCAGCGAACTTAAAAAAAATAAAAAGTAAAATTTTATGGATGGCGAAACAAGGTTTAGGAGAGATAACAAAAAAAAAAAAATTACTAATAATTTAACTGTGTAGTAAACTAAACACCATGTGTTTCTTATGACACCCGCCTGTTCTATCCAGATTGTTACCTTTTCGACCGTATCAACACACAAAGGATTAAAACAAAAAAAAAAAAAAAAAAAAAAAAAAAAAAAAAAAAAAGTGTCATTTAAAAAAAAAAAACAAAAAAAGAAAACAGCTTGCCAATTCATTCATAGAAAATCGAGACTACACTAAAAGTTGCCTAGATTAGTTTTTTTAGTTAGTAGACAATAGTTACAGTTTTTAATCCAAAATAGTCTAATTGGACGAAAATTAGAAAACTTATTTAGAGTACAGGGTGGTCCGAAAATCTTGTTACTTGATATACAAAAAATAATTTTCTAATTGACACGAACTCCTACAATTTGGAAGAGATGACCGGAGTGACAAGACTTTCGGACCACCCTAAATTAATAGTTGTTTCGCTTTTAAAAATTACTGACATACCGGAATGGGTCACAAGACTAATTTTTTTTTATTTTTTCACAAAGAAAATAAAAAAAAAATGAATACTGTCGGATTTAGAGAAGAAATTTGCTTTCTTTGGTGTTAAAACTCTTTTTCTTCGACAAATGAAAGGAATTATTATTTTTTTTATTTATTTAATAAATTTCATTTTTATTCTTTACTGTTGTTTTTTCAACTATAGTTGAAAAACAACACTAAAACCTTTGTTTCGTTTTTTTTTTATTAATGAATGTAAATGAGTCATACTCAGTAAAAAATTAAAAAAAACTTCAACGTGTTGGAAAATTCAATAGCTCAGTAATACCTACACTTATGTTAGTTAAAAATACATTAATAAATATATAGAATTACAAATACATACACAAAGTGCAAAAAAATAAAATAAAAATATAATATTGCTAAAATAAATGTAATGTAGGTAATTTGATCCAGTTTCTCTTTTTTAAAGAAGAAAATAAACAGAAACGTAACGATTACACAACATAAAATAAAAATACTAAATAAACCATTATTCTTGCTAAAAAAATAAACCAAAAAATTGACTTTATTTCCAATAATTTCCGAAATAAACAAACACATAGAAGTGGAAAAGTTTAAAAATGCAATGACAAACGTTTACAAAAGTTCAGTTTTAGTTTGTGGAGGTGTCAAGACATTTTTATGCTGTTCAGTCTAGAAAGAATAAGATATGAACTAAGAAAATACAAAATAGGAAACATAAATAAACTCGGCGAGAATTTTGGAAGAGAAAATTGTCAAGTATTTAATTTCGTTTTTTTTTTTTTTTTAATTTACAGATAAAGAAAATTTAGGTGGGCGGTTTGAAACAGATTGAGTTGCGTACGGTAAATATTTATCTTTTTTTTTTTTTTTTTATCATGTCAAACGTGAGTAGCAGTCATTTTGTTATTTTCGCATGCTTCTGAACGAGCATTGTTATAATTTTGTATTTATTTTCATAACAGAAATAAAATTATACCACAACATCGACGAAAATGAAAACCTGGTTATCAGGAGTCTTTGTTTTGGGAGATCGATCGTCTAGGCAATGCGTACTTAGTACAACTAAATCGTAAAATCAGAACGATGTATTTCAATGAACATCATAAAAATAGTAAAATCCCAAAACTAATCACAAAAACAAACACTTTTCCACAGTAAATTTTTTTTTTTTAAATTAAAAATAAAAATAACAAACCCGACATACCGAAAGTGGGAAGTGTCATCAAGCTGCTTGTCTGGTCACACGAAGTGTATACGTCCGTGAATTTAAACAGATGAATATTGCAATCCTGTTAAATAACATCAATGACTAGGCCTGCTTGTTAATATCAGAATTAAAACATACAACCCAAGTCAATAAACCCTGATAATCACAGTCCATGACGACAACGAACAAAAAAGACAACTTATCTACTTAAACTCTTCTCAGACGAGAACACTACACTACCGGAAATAATAATAATATTACACTTCCGGTCACGTACTAAACATAAGATAGAAAATAAACAAATTCAGAATTAAGTAAGTAAAAAAATAAAATAAAATCTTAATTATTCCAGTTTCGCATTTATTATACAAATAAATAAATTAGGAAGTTTTTTCTTCGCTGAAAATGATTTTTACGATTTACACTTCAGTAAATAAAAATCGTGTTTTAGAGTTGTCTCCCTTACATTCAATATTCTTGGTCAGTGCTCTGCGTTAAGGTGGATGGAGATAACTCTGAAAAATATTTTTCTAGGTAATCGATCAATTACGACTAAGTAATGAGTTCGATCCTCATTGGGTGCTTCATACGTTCAGCCTTGTTCCATATATAAGCTACAATTACTAAATCGCTATTTGGATACTTCGTCGTTGTGTAGCATGTTTTGCTAGATCAATTATGACTGTAATGAATGAGTTTGATTCTCACTGGGTGCGCCATACTTTTGGTCTTCTGCCACATCTAAGTAACGCTTAGTAAATCACAAGCTAATCAATGATTAATTGAACGTTTTATATATTTATTTAGAAAATCATCAGAGCATCAGTTTTTAATTCAGGTAAAAAGGATAATATTGAAAGATATATTGGAAAAAATCCTATTTCCAACACAAAATATACCCAGATACATACCATATTAAAACACGCCCAAATTTTACTTTCTACTCAATAAAAGACAATATTACAAACACGCTAAAAAAAATCTCACAATACAATACATATAGTTTAAATCAACGTGTCTATTGGTTAGAAATAAACATCACCATGTGAAATATTTGACCAATCAGAGAAAACTAAAATCCTATTTTCTGGAACCTTCTTTTGCGAAAATTTTCTTAGAAAAATCCACAGATTTTGACTTTCAACAGCAGAGATACCAAAGAGAAAACATGGCTACATAGCTACCCCTCCAGTACGTGATGAAAGAAACATATGTTGACGATTTCAAATGAAACGTCTCCAACAACAACAACAAAGAGTAAGTGAATCTTCGATAAAGATAAGTCATTTCTTAACCATAGCTTTTTTTTTCTGTGAACCAACTAAAAGTCTTTTCTAAACATCAACTTTAAATCAACTAAAGACTGTTTTTACTCCTTTTTTAACTCTTTTGCATTCATGTTTGTAAATACAAATGATTTATTTACTGGGTATATAACATATTTTCTTTATTTCTTATGATTGTTTGGAATTCGAATGTTTAATGTAAAAAAATCCCTGACAAATGAATTTCTACAGATGTACTGAAATAACTTAAAACTTAAGAGGAAAGCCTCAAGTATTAGGAATCTAATAATAAGAGTGAAGAGAAGATTATTTTATAAATTTGAGAGAATAGGAGATTAATAGATTCTATATAGGAGAAGTAATTTGTATTATGGCTGAAAATTACAATTACAGGATAAATTCATAGAACATAGAAATCTTGGATGAATTTATAATTGTAAATAAAAACCTTTCTATTTTAAATTTGAGGTTCATAGTATTGCAGTGTTTGTGAAGTACTGCGTCATGCTAGACAAATTTTCTCTTTAAAATCTATCTTACGCATTTATAAGTCTACCATTCATCCATGGATTGAATATTGCTGCCACATATATATATATATATCCTGATATATATTTAGAGATTCTTGATGAAATACAAAGAAGAATCTGCAATATTATTGGTCATGAACTGACATTTCAGCTTCATTTACTTTCTCACTACTGTAACGTAGCTTCCCTGTGCCATTCCTACTTTCATGGTAATTGTTCTGATGAATTTTCTGCTCTTTTAAAAATTTTTTTAAAAAGTTGCTATTGTATTCTCCACACCCACAGATAAATTTTCTGTTAAATATTCACATGCATTTTACGTTTACTACTATGTCTGTGTGCCAGAACAATATATTAAAATGTGACAGTCTGCGTGATAGTATGAGTAGCAGTCTGCGTGATAGTCTTGAGTAACATTTTCAATTTGGAATTACAGCGAAATGGCTGGTAGGACTTAATATACACTGATTTCAAAACATTTACTTAGTACTAAGGACTTATTTGAGCTGTGTCCGATTTTTTGCTGTGATTAGAGGACTGACAAACCGGTTAGGCTGTTTTAGTCATTATTATGTTTCGGTATTATCACTTTACAGTAATATATTTTTGTTATGAATTTTTGTCTTTTGGTATGAAATGTTTTTTAATATAAAGAACAATGGCGTGGTGGGGGTCAGATTACTTGGAATTGAATTTTCATCCGGTAAGGAACGACATAATCGACAGGACCATCATGCAGTCACTGTTTGCATCAAACAAAATATTTTAGTGGCATGGAATGTCAGAACCCGAATCACTATAGATCATTAGAGAATATAAAACAAGAAATGGTCAGGTTAAATGTTAATATTTTAGGCAAATGCGAAACTAGGCGGGCAGACTGGAGATTTTGTCTGTGACAAACACAGGGACATATATGTGGATGGGCGGAGAGAAGAAATTGAACGAAGTAGGACTTATATTGTACCAAGACATGAAGATATGTGTTCTCGGATACTATCTCGTGAAACATATCGGTTTGATGCTTTGGCACTCATTATCTGTGATGCTTTTAGTCGCGGATCATTAGGGATGTGGGGTCTTACAACATCATACCTCTTCTCCACAGCAATCCAGTCGATACTGATTGGATGTCAACTTGTGTACCATCTCTCAGTTACTCCTATTCTCGTAGTATAAGGCTAACCTAACCCACTGTGACTTCTCAGGTTTTTATATTCCAATCACAAGCAACTTCCGGTTCACCAGCTACGTCACTCTTCCATAAAAAGGAAGTAAACACAGTGACAAATTTCTTAGCAATCGTGGTGACGTTCTCAGTTTGAAATGACAAGTAGTGTTTTTCGTTTCACTCGCTCACCTAAAAAAAACAAACAAAAAAACATCGACACTACCCAACTATCTGATATAATTCTTGCAGTTAAAGTGAGAGGGAAACCATTCTCACTTACCCATCGTAGTTGTATATGTATTGATAGCATAAAGCACGGAAGAAGAACTTGAAAAGTTTTATTCTATGCTAAACACCGACAAGGCTCAATGCAATTCACATGAAATTACAATCATCATGGAAGACGAGATATGGTGAAATAGTTGTCAAATTTAAACTAAGAACTTGTAATGAATGCAGAGAAAAATGGGTCCCGTGGTGCACAGCTAATGATCAGGTAGTAGTCAACACCTGTTTTCAAAAACGCCCAAGATGTATATAGACAGAGAAGCCCAGGAGGGGAAACAAAGAACAAAATTGACTATATAACAATCAATAAAAGATGCAGTTTTACACCGTAAAGTGTACCCAAATGCTGAATGTGGGAACAATACCTTCCAGTGATATGTAACCTTTGAGTGAAACTACGGAAATTGAAGAGACCCAAGACAATAGTGAAAGTGCAATATGACAAACTCTCGAATGACTATTCAAATTTGAGAGTTATAAATAAAACAAGGGAAAGGTACCATTTAAAAATCAAGAGATCATTTTGCCGTCCTGGGTAAGACGATAAACTACGTCCAACAGCAAGGCCTATGTTCAGGAGGTTTTGAGGAGCGTGGAACCACCTTTTAATTGCTGTTGTTCCCATGTCCACTCTAACTCGGTGTGGTAGCAACTGTTAGGGTCCCAGCTCTGGGTAAATAGTTAACCCGCAAAAGGGGTCAAAACACTAGGAAAGTATAAAAATAGGTTTTAATACCAGCAATACATTTTTGGAAAACAAAATATATCTCCAGCAATAAAAATCTTGTTGGCATTAAATAACCCATTGAGGTTGATATGTCATAAAACAAAACATATAAGGCTTAGGGCTATATAGCATTGAAACACTGGTTCCCTGAGGTTAAGCCATGTTAAGTCTGGTCAGTATCTGGATGGGTGACCACTTGAGAATACAGCATGCTGTTAGACTGGATGTGTAAGTACTGTAATGAATAATGGCTCAGAATTGTTTATTGGAGAACCGAGTTCCAATTCCAGTTGGGTTCATTATATTCACTTACACGCAAATACCCTCGGGAAAGGTATGAATCCACCTCTTCTCCCCCACACTTTAGTGTATAAAGTGTAAATATAGATTTTAATACCAGAAATACTTTGTAAAAAATATTACCAGCGATACATTTTTGAAGAAAAAATATTATCAGAAACAGATTCTTGAAGGAAAAATATTATCAGCAATACATTAAAAAAATATTACTAGCAATAAAAATTTTGTCGTCATTAAATAATCCATTGAGGTTGATAAGCCATAAAACAAAACAAGCCAAACCAAGATCGTTTTGAGACTATTTTGAAACTCCAATTAAAATGATAAAAATCAATAATTTTCGATTCTGTAAATTTGCTGATTGTAGAATGGTCTAAGGAAGTTAAATATTAGTCATGAAAAAATTCCTTAACGAGGGTATTACTTTTATTCAGAAGTGCCAATTAACTACCAAATAACACCTGAAAATTCCTATGAATTTTTGCTGATAAAAATTTACATAATTAATATCAAACGGAAATAAAAGCAATTAATTTTGTTAAGTACAACTCTAAAAATAAAAATTAGCTGTAAATTTGAAAATAAAAAGAAAAACGTATTTGACACAGGATTCACAGAAAATTACTGCCAATCGGAAATTGTTTTAGAAATTGATAAAATTATATAATAAATATTATCTAATGTTTCCTGCTTGAAATTAAATATCTGAAATCAATATAGACAATTTCTATATTAAAATGATAAGTCTGTTCAATCCTACTAATGACAAAGCATTTGACAAATGAAAATAAACTGGTGTACGGAATTTTGGGCATTTTCATCATCACGCTGCTATATATTCCTTTTTTCTTTTCTTTTTTTTTTACTATTTTTGCAGGGTTCAAATAAATTGTATACTTATTTTAACATCAGTTTTTAAATCAACTTTATTTCCATTATTTTTAATAATCGTGAAGTCAGTTATGTGCCATGCGTGATACACTTTTTTCGATATATGACTGACGAGGCAGATTTTTTTCCCGCGGTAGCTTGCCATTTCTTTCTACTGTAGACCAGTTGCCATCTAAGGCTGTAGAACCAGGTCTGTCCTGCTATTTACCCATAACTGGGGGAGAAGAAGAGGATTCATACCTTTCCCAAGGGTATTATCACGTAAGTGAATGTAATGGATCCGACTGGAATTCGAACTCGGCTCTCTGATTCCTCAATCCGAGTCGCTATCCATTACTTCACCGTGCCTCTACTCTGAAGTCAAAAGCACACATTTTTGGGCAAAGTAAATGGACAATTTAGTGAACTTACATTTTTTGGAGGAAGAAAATCAGCATTGTGTGGTTGTGGTGTTGCGCCCTGCACTTGGTAGAGGAAAGAATGCATTGTTCAGTTGAGGGGTGAGACTTTCGACATTTGAAACGACTTGGCAATTATCAGTTTTTATAGCTTCTTGGAGGGTGAGTTTCAAAAGAGTTTTCTCCAAAACTTCATACATAATCATTTTTACTTATGTACCTCCACATATTTGCAATACATAAGGTTCAAAATGAATTTTAAAAAATATCTTTCTTGAAGCTTTTATTTTAGTTTTAATTTCAAGCTAATAGATTAAATTTAATATTTCCAAGAAGCAAGATATTTTGCTGTATTTCAGAACTAATTTAGATTAACTCGAGAGAGTTTTCATTTTGAAATTGCTAAGCATCGCTGATTTTAGCGCCATTTTAAAACATCTTTCATCACAATGTAATTCTCCTTATTAAAATATTTTTCAAAAATAAAATATACTTTTCTGAATGCTTATTTGAGGAATATTAACTGATTTATAATTGAATTAATCTGATTTGAAACAAATATTACTTACTTTAAGTTTAAAATATCATAGAAATGAATTTTTAACGTGACGGTAGTTTATTTAAGGTGATGACAGGTTAACAGCTTTACCGACAGACAGAAGTTTATCTAATTTTGTTCTACGGTGGCTATATATGTAAAAATTACTTGAGGAGTATAACGTGAGCGCCTTGAGGTGGATAAAAATGGGTCCAATGCTATACGGCGAATGACCAGGTAGTAGCCAACATCTGGTTTCAAGAACACCCAAGCCGAATATGGACATAATTAAGTCCAGGAGGAGAAACAAAATAACAAATCAAATACATAACTACCAAGAAGTGATTCAGAAATGCAGTTGTCCACTGCAAAATCTGTTCAAACTGTGGAAGCGACCACCTTCCAGTTATATGTAAACTTAGAATGAAACGATGGAAATTGAAGAGACCTAAGGCAAATTGCAATTCGACAGACTCTTGAACACTCTGAATCTGAAGGAGAAATATATGGACAGTGTGAAAAGCATATACAAGGGACAAAATGAAAATAGAAACCCGAAAGAGAAAGAGAAGCTTTAGTAACATCAGCACACGAGATCATCCCAAAGAAAACTAGACGAAGAAGAAAAAAAAATGAATGGATGACAAATGAGATTCACGACACAATGAAAAGTAGACAAAAACCAACGCCAAAACACGAAGCAGAATATAGAACACTATACAAAGAAATAAAGAACAAATGCAGGCAAGCTAAAGAGGATTGACACAACGAAAAATGTGCAGAAATAGAAAGAATGAACAGATAAAGGAGATATGCATAAAAAAAATAAGAGAACTAACAAGTAAAAGGACATGCTTATCAACAGGATGCATAAAATCCAAGGACAGAAAGATGATATTGTAGAAAGAAAAATACACCAGAGATAGAACGAATATATTGGAGAATTCTTTCATGATGAAAAAGAACAACCGGCGATATATAGAAATATTAACGGACCGGAAATATTAAAAAAACCGAAGTGGAAACTGAACTGGCCAAATTGAATAGAAAGAAAGTGGCAAGGCCAAACGAAATTGTGATAGAGATGTTGGCAGCCTTAGATGATCTTGGCATAGACAAAATTATAGAAATAATAATTTAAATCTATAACAGTGGCGATATACCGGAAGACATAAGCAGATCTATTTTCATAGAATTACCTAAGAAACCAGGCGCAAACAAATGTGAACTCATCATTCGAATTCTGATGAATAGAATGCGCAGGAGAATCAGGCCGGAAATAGGTCGAATAGTGTGGGTTCATCAAAGACACTTAAACAAGGAACGCGATATTTATGCTCAGAATGGTACCAGAAAGAGCAATACAAATGCAGAAGTTCGTGTACCTGTGTTTTATAGATTACACAAAGGAGTTTGTTTAAGTACGCCACAAAGATTTGTTAGAATTACTCAGCAACCTTAAAATATTTGCGAAGGATATTAGAATAATCAATAACCTATACTGGCAGCAAACCGCGTGCTTACGGATAGAAAACAAGTTCAGCAGATATACAAATATAGAAAGGCGTAAAAGACAAGGATGTGTCTTCTCACCGGACTTATACAGCGAGGCAATTCTGAGAGAATTAGATGTCCCACTAGTATTCATTATTGGCGGCTACAATCTTAACATCATAAGATATGCAGATGACACAGTGTTGATAACAGACATGGAAAGAAAACTACAAAAACTCTGTTTGAAGGTAGTGAAGGAAATCGAGAAGAAAAGATTACAAGAAGATAGACTACATGGCTGTTAGCAAAAGGAAGAGCCCAAAATGCAAATTACAAATCAGAGATACCGAAATGAGACATGTACAAAAATTTAAATATCTGTGAAGTGTTTTAACAGATGAAGGAAAAGGCGACACTGAAATCCGAAAACGCATTGGGAAAGTTAAAGATGCATTCCAAAAGCTAAGCAGAGTATTAAGAGACAGAAAAGCATCGTTAGAAACAAAGAAAAGAGTGTTCTTAGCGCATATTGTACATTTAACGATTCAAGAAAAACAAAGAAGCTCCATATGTGGATCAACAAATATATATATTGAAATATAACATATAAAACGATCATGCAATGAAGTGTAATGATTAAGGGAAAAAAGTTGTTCCCCTTCAACTGTATTCTGATTTATGATTGAATGTTCGAAAGAATTTCTCTTGAATAAGAATGTTCAGGATTCTATGTTGAATAGTGTTTGTTGTTAGAATAGAATACAGTTAATTAAGAAGTGTGTTGTTTTGAGAAATTAATAGCGTGCTGGTTCATGAACTTGGCTGAGTCACAGAGAGAGAGATGTATAATGTGTTACAAAAAATCTGTCTGTGTGTGCGTTTGAAATGTGAGTAAAGTCGTAGATTTGTGTGGACAGGCGAAAATAGCTGGACTCTACTGACGACTTGCGAGAAAGTCGGTAAGAGTTGTTGGCAATGTTCTTTAACGTCTGACCGCACGGTTAAGACGGGAGCTCTTGAAGATTACATCTTGGCAGCAGGGAAAAAATGAACGAAGAGAACACCAGAGAGGCTTATTTGTGTTTTGTTTATATAAGGTTGTGTCTCACGTGACAGACTCCAAGGCTTGTGCGCGGGAAAATTATTCCTCGCGTGCAGGCGATTTGATTGGTCGGAATTGACCAATCAGCAAGCTAGTTTTGAGGAGATTAGCCAATGAATGCTTGCCGTATGATCTGTATGTATGTATGTATGTATGTATATGTGTGTGATGGCGATGATGATCACTGCAAGAGTACTGAACTGTTATGTGATATCTGTCCTCCTATATGGAAGTGAATGCTGGGCAAAAATGAGATTTGAAGCAATAGAAATGTGGTTCTACAGAAAGATGCTGAGGATACAATGGACTGAATATGTGAGCAACGACGACTACTAATTAGGAAAGAGGAAGAAAAGGTATTCCAAGTATGAGAGAAAATACTTATTTTTGTTATTGTCAAATTATTTATAGTGTCTTCTTGGTTCAAATCTGATGAAGATTTAAATAAATTGATGTCATTTGGAAAAGTCTTTTGGACAATTTTTAGCTACAAGTTACTAAGTTTTAGTCTGATTAAATTCTCGATTGTACATGTGGACTTTAGTATACATCTTATCGAAAATTGTAAATAGGGCAGTATTTGGTTAGTTGGTGCTTTCTTTCTCTCCTTTCTTTATTCTTTCTTCACTTTCTTTCCTACTTTCTTTCTTTCTTTCTTTCGTTTTTCTTTCATTCTTCCCTTCATATTTCATTCTTTTATTCATTCCTTTTTTATTCTCTTCATTCTTTACTTTTTTCTTACTTTCATTATTTCCTTTTTCTTTTTTTTCATCTCATTCCGTTTTCCCTTCTTTTTCCTTCTTTCATACATTTAATTTGAATTCAAAGTTGGTCCACGTATGCCTCGTATGTAGATATATTTTGCTGAGGAAAGCATTTTGAAAAAGAAACCTTAGGTCTCTGAGCGGGACCCGGAACGAAATGTGTACACACCAGAAATCAAAAGAAATAAAATAATAATAATAATTATATGCTTTAAAGAAATACAAAAAAATGTACTCAGAAGTACAGTTCATACACGACGGAGGGCTTTACATAAAATGTATTTGATCTTACGTTTTTTTTTTTTTTTTTTTTTTTACAGAAATGATTAGTGGAACCCGGAAAGAAATGTGTATACAACAGAATTTAAAGGAAATAAGTTAATGATTGAATAAGCTCATGGCAAATTCTACAATAAAACATCCGTAGAAATTCCCCTATTGAACTGTTATGTGATATCTGTCCTCCTATATGGAAGTGAATTTAATGATTCAAGAAAAACAACGAAACTCCATATGTGGATCAACAAATATATATATTGAAATATAACATATAAAACAATCATATATCTTGTGTTGGGGTGACATTAAAATAAACCGTTATAAATTGATTTTTTATTAAAATTCAATTTTAACATATACGCAATAACGGTTAAAAATTCTGAATATCTTCTTCCAGATCTTGTTTCTTTCAGTGGTAAAAGCACTTTTTATTAGACATTATGATTAAAAATGAATACTTTCAGCAAATCAAACAGTTTTGCTAAATCAGGAAGGTTATATAATCTGAAAAAAAAAATTAATCCCAAACACAGCACACACATTCTCATTCGCCTTATCTAAATGACCAGCGTTCACGTTTATAGTCTTACAAAAATGCACGGCAGAAATTTTTAGAAGTCTTCAAAAGTTCTAGAAGTTTCCAGAAAGTCATATTACTACTATACTTATGTACGATTTTGAAAATTGTGTGTTGGGGGTGACATTAAAAAAATAAACCGAATAAAAAAACCCTTCTTCATTAATTTTTAACGAAAGTTCATCAAATTATGATACAGGAAATCAATTATTTTACAAAAAGTCATAACCCTAATAATAAAATTTGAATAAATGAGTAGATATCAACTGAATCACTTATGGCATTTTATTTTATTTTAACAATCATTTTTCATATTATCTGGTTATATTTAAAT